GTAAAATACATAATTTATTGGAACTAAGGTGGAAAAATAAATATGTAGGTCAATTAAATTATAAAACATGAAGTAAAGTTCTCCTTTTTTAATTTAATTGGTGCATTTTAAGTGTCTTTATTTATCTATTAATCCATTTATATACTTCTGCTTTTATTTTTAATTATGACAGTTTCAGTCCTCCATATTGAAGTGAAGAAAACTCAATAAAAGTCAGTTCAGGTCCTGAAACACAGAGAGGAACTCACCTGGCGCTGCCTCCATGCTTGATGGCAACTTTCCCCAGAGGTTTGTCCAGTTCATCGTGGACCAGCAGGATGTCTTCAGGTTTGACGCCGTATTTACGAGCTGGAAGAGAGGAGCAACAATTAGATCTGTTAGCAACATTTTACTGCAGATTAAAGAAAAGAACCCAGTTTTCAGAGGAGTCTCAGGTGGAGGAACAATGAGTAAACACAGATTCTCCTCAAACTCAAAGACAGAATGAGTCTGTTGATAGAGATGAGCTCACCTGCTTTGGCCACACACACCCCGTTGATGTTCATCAGCAGCCTGGGACGGAGCAGAACCACTTGGGTGTCCTGGACCTCCGACAGGATGACCTCACCGGACACGTGGCGGTCGCCACGCCAGCGGTCGGACACGCCGAGCCGGGCGGCGAGCGCGCCAAGCACCGCCATCCCGACGCTGTGTCTGGTCTCCTCCATCCCCGGGTTCCCCAGCCCCACCACCTGACCGACACACAAGGACAGACAGTCGCTGTTTCACAATCCAGTTCACAAAACAACTATTTTATTACGTGAACGCTGTCAGCATCCATGCCGTTGTTATTCTTTGATTTGTCTTTATGCAGAATAACTACTTCTCTATATTTTGTGCTGTTTTGCCAGTAAATCAAAACATTCAGCTCATTCAGGAGATGGGTGCTGTGGCTTTTACTTATACTTTTCAAAGTATTTAAATATTTACAATTATTTTCCTATAGAAATGCTCTGAGATTTTCTCAGTTCCTTCTAAAACACTTTTCTCTGAAATTTCTCTCTATTCAGTCTTCTAAGACCTTTTTTATGTAAGCAGTCTGAAATTTAATTGTATCTGCAAAATATCAAACTACATTATAGGTTTGAAACATGAAGAAAAAAAACTTTAGAATAAATGAAAAAGATCAACTCAAAAATAAACTGACTGATAAGCTCAATTTACTTCTTTATAGTACTTACCAGGATTAAAATTTAGCCGAATAGAAGAGAGGTAACAATAAAAACAGAAAATGTTTTTAAATTATTATTATTGGATAAATACTTGGGCCAAATCTACCGGTATTCTTAAATTGCTCAATCTCTGAGTGGTGTTTGGTGGGAGCTCACTGACGGTATTTATAACCCAGGACACTACATAAAAACTTGATTTAAAAATAAATATCTGAGATGAACGTGCTCCAGACAGCACGATGGTCTAAGCTCACCAGCTTTCGGCGGCCCTGCTTGTGTACCTCCGCATTGACGCCCATCTTCGTCCGAGCGAAGGGATCGCCCATCAGAACTCTGTTTATGACTCTCGTCAAAACACGTCGCATAATGACAAAGTTCAATATCTGACAGAAAAAAATAAATAAAAATCGACAATATTTACTGAAAAACGAGTCCCTTTTCATTCGGCTCATACGTCAGAGGGTTTTACTTTAATAATTTATAGAATTTCAACAATAATTGATTAAAAACACAAGAAGAGGTAAAAGTTAATCTTATGACGAGTTCATATTATACTTAACATTATTACATACGTTTACAGCGCCTGCAGATAGAGTTCACTGTTGTGACACTAAAACATAATAAAGATTTAAATGTTATTTTATGGAAAACGTGAGCTAGTCCTCCAGTCTTGACCTTTTCCGTTTTTCAACCAGAGTAAAAAAAAAAAAAAAAAAAAAGAGAACACTGCTGGCAGCATTTTACCTTCTGTGTGGGTCCACAGCGCCGTCTGGTGGATCGGCTGAGTAACTACAACTCACTCAACAGCAAAACTTACTGTTTACTGTATCTGAAACTCAGACTGAAGAAGTCTGTTGGAGGAGAGACGAAATGTTTCACTAAAAAAAGAACCCATCCAAAGGACCTACTTAATTTTTTCTTTTTGATACTGTATAGTTTATTATTTCTGTTTATTTGCATCATAAATTTGTCCCGTATCTGAAGCAGGTATACAAACTAGAACATATTATTCTAAATTTTAGTTATTGTGATATTTTTTCTTTCTGGTTAAAATGACAGAAAAGCAATGGAAACAACAAGCAAAGTAAAGAAAATGAAAACATTTATTATTATTATTATCATCATCATTATATTATTATTATTATTATTATTATTATCATTATTATTATTATTATTAGCTGGTTCCCAGTCGCCTGCTAAGCGCAATGCTCTAACAGCTAACGAGACGGTTCATCAGCTGTTAGCAAGGTGACATGTTCGCTCGCTGAGCTTCATTCTAATGGTGCGTTCACACCGAACGCGATTTCAGCGTCAGGAGCAGCAGGTTTACAT